AGAGAGAGAGAGAGGAAGGGGGGGGGGAGAGGTATACGACAATACACTGCCTACTATGCTCAAGGTTTGCTCCTGTTTCGTTAAGTAGGCCTACAGTTTAAAGTTGCTAAATAAAAAAGAAAGAAACAAAGGGGAAAAAAGGAAAAGGAAAGGAACTTCTGGCATGACGTTCGTCCATTCAACGGGACTTGATCAGCACAGCCCAGTGTCTTGCTGACCAAGGTAACGTCATGGGAAGGGTGCATAAACGCTAAGAGGGTTTAAAGTCACAAGCAACAACCGAGAATCTGTCCACTTATTTTGTTAGCCGAGCTACGCACATGCCTTGAATCTTAAATATTGACATAGGTTTGAAAGTCAAGAACTTTGGTCAGTACTGTCTCTGTTATATCTTTAACGACAATTTCTGCTGCAAACAACGGAGGTTTAGCTCTAGCCCCAACCCTGTTGTGCGTTTATTTCGTGTTCCGATGCAGTTCAAAGAAGTTACAACTCGCATTTTTTAAAAACACCTTTTCAACAGAAAGTCCACAGGTTGTCCGTACGACAACAGACACAGAAAACACAACTTGACAATTTTTAAATTCTTTTATTTTCCATTGTCTCTCACACCTTGAGTCCACTCAGCAGCAAATCATCTGCAAGATGTTCCAGTGTAGGGAGAATTTTTAGGGGAGAGGAAAAAAAAACCGTACACTTCAAGTACTCTGTATAATTTTTCCATAAAACGTTGTATATTACATTATGCATATTTTTTCTTTTCTCAACATTTAAAATTTGAATTCCTGCACACTAACTCTTCAGTACATGAAGCTGATACCACAGATTAAAAAACTGAAAAAAACCACCCCAACATTTTTTCAAAATTTTGGGCTCAGTACATCTGAACAGTTGGCTAATGAAAAAATATCACAGAAAGATTCAAACAAAAGGCAAGAGTTTTTCTTATATAAATATAGATCAAAGTGATAGGTATATATTTTTGACTGACATCTGATGAGCGGTTAGGTGCTTTGTTGTCACTTGCAGAAGACCTGGGTTCGACTCCTGCGTTGGGATAGTTTTTATTGAGCGTCTCAAGTCTTTCTGCTGGGACATTCGATCCCTCATAGCCGGGGTTGGCACTGACAGGCACGGTCGAAGTCCGCCCCCGGAATGATATCAGTTATGCCGATGGGGGTGCAAAAACACTTATAATAATATGGAACATTTCTAGAATAATATATCTTTGGAGATAAAATAATATAATAGTTCTCCTGTCTTTTCTTCAGGAACAGAGTATGGGACAGAACATTATATATAAATGGAACAATTAACTGTCAGTGCTGGCTGAAGAAAAATAAGAAAAAAAGCAGACATACACGCATACACCACACAAACGCACACATAATATAAGGCACATTAGCATGCACATAAAAAAAACCTCTCTCTCTCTCTCTCTCTCTCTCTCTCTCTCTCTCTCTCTCTCACACACACACACACACACACACACATACATGTACACACTCTCTCTTTTTCTCCCTCGGATCTCTCTCTCTCTCTCTCTCTCTCTCTCTCTCTCTCTCTCTCTCTCTCCGCTCCCATCTCAATGTATAAGTGAGAAAAGGGAATCGCACGCCATGACAAAGAAAAGAAAATTCTGATTACACTGGGCTTAGTCAGATGAAAAGACATTCAGCAAACTGTTTAGAAAAATGGCACAGAGAATTTAGGGAGGATATTAGATCACCGGGACAAATGTCATACAAAAAAATATCAGGCAAAAATACAGTAAAATGGAATTTTTTCAGCAGTCAGTAAATATTAATGATACATAATAGAATATATTGGAAAATTCAACAGGGTTAGTTTGTAAAAAAAAGCATACAGTTGAGCACGGATAACTCAAACACAGAGTACTGCAATTCAGTTAATAAATAGCTTGTACGGGGCACTACTCAGTGGTGACTATGTGTGCTGTGCTTCGCTTGTGCGTACCAGTACAAATATGTGTGGAAGACAGGGTGTGTAAGAAAGTGTGCGTTTATGGGTGTGCGTGCACATATTTGAGCATGAGTGAGTATATAGTGAAACACCAAACTAATGTGCCAGCATCTGGACAATAAAGATTTATCGTATCGTATCTTATCTTAACAAGAAGTCTTTCCCTGACTGAATAGTTAGATTTTTCTTTGTATTGGCAGCACAGTTTCTCAAAAACAAGCAAAAATGTGTCGAAAAGTTCATCTTGAAAATCCTGAAAAAGCATTTCCTCACAACTGTTTCGAATTCAAATCACATTATGCGCACAATGTGGAAAATAAACATACCCATTATCATCGAAAGTATCAGATTATACGAGTCCACCAGGATAACTACTTCAGAGTATGATATACACATACATGTATAATAATTATATTGTTCATATCGAGATGCATCATTGCACATTACCTGTTGTGTGGATAAGGCGTTAAAGCTTTCTTGAAACTAGTCATGTGAGGGTGAGTGTGGGTGTTGAGAGGTGGGGTGTGATCAAAAACAATGTGGCTCTGCATTGGGATGTAAGTTGTAAGGTGAATGTGTTTATGTAAGTGGGTATGTGTGTGTCTGAGTGTGTGTGTGTCTGAGTGTGTGTGTGTGTGTGTGTGTGTGTGTGTGTGTGTGTGTGTGTGTGTGTGTGACTGTGAGTGTGCGTGTAAGTGTGTATGTGATTGTGTGAGTGCATGCATATGTGTGTATGTGTATGTGCACGCGTGTATGCGTGTGTGTGTGTGTGTGTGTGTGTGTGTGTGTGTGTGTGTGTGTGTGTGTGTGTATGTGCACGCGTGTATGCGTGTGTGTATGTGTGTGTGTGTGCGTGTGTGTGTGTGTGTGTGTGTGTGTGTGTGTGTGTGTGTGTGTGTGTGTGTGTGCGTCTGTTTGAACATAAAGGTGTGTATCAGGAAGTACAGTGGAAACCTGATATAACAGAGACGACAAGACCAGAGGAAAGTCTTGTTATATCAGATCCCTGTTAAATCTGAAATGCAAGAGAAGTAATCCCTGTTATTACCGGATCCCTGTAATTACCGGGCCTGTTATATATGGTTTCCATTGTAATTACACAACAGGGGTGGGTGGCGTGCTTTGACCAGTGTTGGTTACATCGTTATGATCATGATCTGATATAAGAGAAATAAAAAAAAATCGGGCCCATCACCCCCAGTCTCTATTTAAAAGGTGCACGCATTATTAATCCTTTTATCCTTTTATCGATCCAGGGTACTTTTCATGACAGCAGTGATTTATTTTCATTTCTATACTACCGCAGCTTCTTGCCTTGATTTTCTGCAATACCTCTATCTTTTTTCGATATCATGATGTACTCAAATTGCGAGTATGTTGAATACATAACTTGTCAATCTCCGATGTGTTTGAGATATCCAAGCTCAGCTATAATCATAATATAGAACGATTAAAAAAAACAACAACCCACTTTATGCTTTTTATATATAATAAAATACTGTTAAAACAGAACATAATTTATGTAACTTTTTTTGCACATACTTACATGTACACACAGTTCTAGGCTCTTTACATAAGTCTACATAGGCCTACTACATTTTTACTACAAAGTCATAAACGAACACTATTGTTCTTACTGTGAAACATTAACCATCCGTACGCCAAGGGTCATTCTGTACTCCAGGGGTTGTATTCTTCACATTTTAGAATACTTCTAGCGCGAAAACCTCTTTGAAACTTTCAGTGTTTCTCAAAAAATCATTTAGACAGACTGCTTTGCAAAGAGCATGGATCGGATTGACGAGTAAATTACTTCTATGGAAAGTGGGAGCACAGAGTTCCCCACGTCGTGCGCATACAATAGTAAAACACGACTTACGGATAGGGTTAATCTTTGTACATAGGCAGACCCAGAGAAAATGACACAAACACTCACACACACACACATACACACACACACACACACACACACACACACA